TTGTTAGGGCTTTAGTGAACACTAATTTGAAAGCAAGAGGAAATCTGCTTTGCACACCAATGTTCCTTATTTATAGGTTTAACCAAACACTGGAATCACTGCATTAGCACCCAGAGTTTTGCAACACACAGCTTTTTAACAGGTAAGCATTTGGTCATGAATATTTCAGTCCCTCAGCTCATAAGGACAAAAGTGAGAAATGATATTCATTATTAGATGGAAACTTTGTTTGGTCTTAACATTCCTGGATGCCAACAAGGCATCCCATCAGCGTTCATAAACATATGGACTATTATTTCTCTAGCACAGTAGTTTCTGCTAATTTATTGCATTTTTATGTAGTGAAGACCCACATCTTTTTAGAGCCTGTCAAAAAAAGCAACAAAATATAGTCATCATAACACTGAAAACTACAACATAAAGCAAATATTTATCAAATATGGAGCTTATAATTTTGAGACAAAGTGAAGCAGCTCTACACTAAAAAATAAATAACTCTTGCTGTGTTCCAACTGAAAAACAGTTATCAATATAGCAATTTACTTTTCAGATTAGCCACCACAATTTGGAATTTACGAGAAATTATGAGTTTCTAAATGTGATCATATAAGAAATGAAGATACATGTCATCATTCTCCATAATTGACAATTTGTCTACCTTCTTCTATGCATACAAAAGTTGATAAAAAATGGGTATGAATATGATAATGCCTCTCATATGGGTTAAATGAAAAATACTTTATTACCATCATCGTTGTATTCTCTGTCAACAGGTTCCGTAATATTTGATGTCTTCTTTAGGGATATTCCTGGAATTTTATTAGTGGTCATTTGCTGACTATAGACAGATAACTCTAAGTATTTGCAGGGCCCTCATGATTTCCTTCAATAATACAAAAGCCAATGAGGAAATATTTAAAAACTACTTTTTTAAAAATAAAGTGATAGATAACAACTAATCCATAGCAGAAAAAAAGGTGATTCAGATGAATTCTTAATAATTCTCAGGAAAATATATGTAATGATGGACCACTGAGATGGCTCAGCAGGGAAATGTTGAGGCCAAGCCTGGCTATTGACAATAATCCCAGGATAAGACAGGAGGGAAGGAGGGAGCTGATTCCCTTCAGCATATACACCTCGGCATGGGCAATACTTCCAGATGTAATGTTTAATGAAATAATACTGTGCTCAAGTACGATATTCAAAGATCTATTCTATTCAATTTATTTTACCTAACCATAAAATTCATTGAAAACATTTTCAAGTAGAGAAAACTAAACTGCCTTATAACTGTCATTTTATCAGTATTAACAATTTTAATAAATTATTCATACTTTTTAAAACTTCTGAAATCAAATAAAGACAGATTCATTATGAAATCAGTTAACTATCATAAAATATTTGTACCATGGATATATTACTTTAAGTCAAACTTCATAAGGTTGTAATAATAGCAATAATATTGGCTGTCTTTTTCTAAGTAATACAACATGATATTTATAGGCATAGTTTCATTTAGCACTTACAACAAATCTAGAAAACAAATTTTTGACATTGTTATTTCACATATGAGGAAAGTTATGAAGAAAAGGAAAAATCAATATGTTCAGTATCATGTACTGGGTTGTAAAACTGTATATCTGCCTCATATATAAAAGTACTCTCACTTGTTGATGTAAAGTCTTTCAACACGTTACAATTGAAAAAACATTTAACATGCAGTCAGAAAAGTCCCATGTCGATTTTAATTCCATTTCTTTTTTTTTAATTAATTAATTAATTTATTTATTAAAAATTTCCACCTCCTCCCATTTTCCTTTTACTCCCCCCACTCCCCCTCTCCCTCCTTCTCCAGTCCTAAAACCAGTCAGGGTTTCCTGCCCTGTGGGAAGTCCAAGGTCCTCCCCACTCCATCCAGGTCTAGGAAGGTGAGCATCCAAACAGACTAGGCTCCCACAAAGCAAGTCCATACAGTAGAATCAAAGCCCAGTGCCATTGTCTTTGGCTTCTCATTCAGCACTCATTGTCTGCCACATTCAGAGTCCAGTTTGATCACATGCTCCATCAGTCCCAGTCCAGCTGGCCTTGATGAGCTCCCATTAGATCAGTCCCACTGTCTCCATGGGTGGATGCACCTCTCAAGGTCCTGACTTCCTTGCTCATGTTCTCCCTCCTTATTTGGACCTTCCATTTCATCATGGATTCTTGATGAAACTTTTACATTTAACTTTTTTTTCTTGGTCTCTGGTATTTCTTCAGTCAAATGTCAAGCTAAATAATCTTTTATAATTATCTATAAAAATTTCAAGTGGTAATATTCATCAAAGTTTCTAAAGTCTTTAAAGTGATATGCACATTTAAAGGCATGAGTGTCACAACCAATAGAAAGACAAACAGTCTCAAGCTTTATAATGAAAATGAAATGTTGATTTCCTCAAAGTACAGTTGTAAAACCCATTGTCACACAGATTGCCCTGGCCAATCTTTTTTTTTTTTTTAGGGCTAATCTTATTCACAAAACAAAAACATAAAATGTTGGAAAGAAACTTGTAGTGAGCAGGGGGGACCAGTAGATTGTAGGGGAAAATTAGAGAGGCTGGGAAAGTGAAAGCAGAATAAGTTGTGTATATGTTTGAAACTGCCAAATAATAAATTTAATTATGGATGTTTTTAAAATTCAGATAAAGAAAAGATAACATCAAATGAAACATGATGAGTCAATTTTATCAACTTTCCTTACATTGAACACACTCTGATCTGCTAAGCTCTACAAAAGAAATAAAGAAAAACTATTTGAAAGTAAACATAAGATGACTTTTGTTATGAAATGGCAACCTGCTTTAATAAAATAATTGCATATTCAAGGCCTTATGGAAAGCAGAATTTGATAGTGAAGGTCTAAGATTACTGGCCAAAGAACTTTTAAGTGGCAAACCATTCAAGGTTCTGTAGAACGTGTTTTCATACATATGGTGAAATGTGAGGAGAAAAATTAATTTATATATAAAATTTTTAATTGAAAAGGAAAAAAATAAAGAGAGGCCATAAGGTATGTGTCTTTGAATATTGTTTCTTGCCCTGGGTCCCTTTCTGCATCTCTGTTCCATGTTGAACAAGAAACGTATCCATTGTATTTCTACAATCTTTCAACCATCCACCATGATATTTTTCCTCAGCATACAATGGCCCACAAACAATGAAGCAAAAAATTATGTACTAAAATCATAAGGCAAAATATACTCTTTTTTAATATTTTTTCCTCTCAGGTATTTTTGCCATAGCAACAAAAAAAATACACTCCGTCTTTCTCAAGCAATCATATATAGGCAATCATTCACAATTTCAAATTTCCACCTAATTCAAAATGTTATTATGAATCGCTTTTTCATATATTATTGAAAATCTATAAAAACCTTCTTCTCCTTTCTTACCTTGACTTAAATTTAATGCTCAGCACTATTCTATAAGTCCATTTCAATTGCATTTAATATACTTGTTTAAGAAACTATATGGAGCTGCACCTAAGGCACTGGGTTTTCTTTGATATAAACTCTTCTCTGTTAGTCCTTAAATTGCAGTGCAGGTAATGTTGTGCCCAGATTATGACCCACAGTGAGACCACCAGAGAGGCCCAGACTGTAATAAGCAAGATCTATTTAGCATAATGCAAACTAGTTCGGAACTCATCTCCAACTCCCATTACAGTGAGGTAGAGAGCAGTTGTAGCTCCTCTGTGGGGTAGGCTTTTAAAGGAGTAACTACAAAGAGGTCTTTTGAAGTTGCTTTGCCATGAGTCCAAGATCTTTTGCTCTTTCCCATCCTTCTAAGTCAGCTTTATCACCAGGTGGCTGGCTGGGCTGAGCTGAGTGTCCTTGTGCTTGGAATCTCCCAGGTCGGAGGGGGGTGGGGAAGGAAAATGCTGTCTTTCTGGGAATGTGAGGCTAGTCTGTGTTTCTAATTTTAAAACATTCTGCTAGGAAATTCCTTTTGGTCCCTTTGAGAATTAGGAGTGGGGGTCTCATAGTAACACTACTAAACATAACAACAAACCATCAATGATGGGATGACAATTGCTTTTCACATTATGCAAGGCTGTTTAGGTATCACATGGTTTACATTTCCCTGTCTTGTCTAGCAGATACTGTCTCACAGCATGTGTCCCATACATATGACTATTATACAGCTGGTGGATATCATACCTCTATATGAAGAACTATGAGTTTCTAGGGCTACAAAGAGAGACATTAGGCTTTCTCCAGCCATAAGTCCCCTGATAGATTATTCTATCCAAATTGATTGGTCCTTAACACACACAAGAAACACTAGATAGACTTAGTACATTGTATGTACAGATGTACATAACAATAAAAACTGAAGAGAAGGTCAAGAGATTGATAGGGAATAAGGGTGAGGACATGGGAGAAGTTGGAGTGGGAGAAATGGCTGGAAATAATAAATAAATAAATATAATCAATCACTGTTGAGGATCCATAATAAAGAGAAAGACATAAACCAGAGCTTAACTTCCATTTAAGTGTTTATACAAGCTATCCTGCACTGTCACCTATTACAATAATCATCAAAAATCAAATCAACCTTATTTGAGAATAAAGAACATGATCAGCAGTAATTAGCTGTATTGTTTCCAGGATTGCCTAGTCTGAAACAACAGATATTTGTTACTAATTGTAATCTGACTGTAATAAAAAAAAATTCCAGGGGTGAGTTTCTGGCCCACTGCGCCAGCCTGGGACGGGGAGCTCGGGGGTTTCTTGGCCCCCTGTCCTGCTTGGGCTCTCTGCAGGGCCTCTACTCCCCGGGTGCTGCCTCTTTCTTCCTGGCCCACCCAGCTTCCGTCCAGAGCCCTCCCCACTTCGCCCCCACTGCCCTCTTTTGGCGCGTGGCATCGCCCAGCCCAGCCTATCTGGGCGCTGGGTCCCAGTACCCGGGACTCCCGGGCGGGCAGCAGTTCCTTTGTTTCTGGGGCCTGCCTGCACCACGCGGGGTCAGCGCTTTGTTTGCCAGCTGCCCAACCAGCACGGAGGCCTGATCTTTCGGCGCCAGGAGACCCAGCATTGGGGAGAGACAGCATTTGGTAGGCAAGGAGACCTGATCCGGTAAAAGAAGATCCATAGGGAGCATTTGGAAGAAGAGATGGGCCAACGTCAAGGCAAGAATTCGCCCAACAAGCTGAAAAGCAACATGAAACTACCAGAAACAAGCAACCTCACAACAGGAGGACAAGAACCCCTTAATCAAGAGGAAGGAGAAAAGATTGACTTCATGAAAGTGATTGACACCCTTAAACAGCATGTAAAAAACGCCCTTATAGAAATGGATGAGAAATATAACAGAAAGTTTGAAGAATTGAATAAATCAGTGAATGATACCCTAGAAAACCAAGGAAAAACAATCAAACAGATAATGGAAACAGTTCAAGACCTGAAAACAGAAATGGAGGCAAAGAAGAAAACAAAAACAGAGGGCCGGCTGGACATGGAAAATCTAGGTAAACGAATAGAGACTACAGAAACGAGAATAACCAGCAGAATACAAGAGTTCTTAGAAGAAAGACTCTCGGATTCTGAAGTTACCATAGAGAAAATAAACACACTGATCAAAGAAAACAGCAAGTCCAACAAACTCTCATCACAAAACATTCAGGAAATATGGGACACAATAAAAAGACCAAACCTAAGAATAATAGGAGTAGAAGAAGGAGAAGAAGGGCAGCTCAATGGTCCAGAAAATATATTTAATAAAATTATAGAAGAAAACTTTCCCAACCTAAAGAAAGATTTTCCTATGAAGGTGCAAGAAGCATACAGAACACCAAATAGGCTGGATCAAAAAAAAAAAAATCCCCTCGCCATATAATTATCAAAACACAAAGCATACAGAATAAGGAAAGAATATTAAGAGCTGCAAAGGAAAAAGGCCAAATTACTTATAAAGGTAAACCTATCAGACTTACACCTGACTTCTCCATGGAAACCATGAAAGCCAGAAGGTCCTGGATAGATGTACTGCAGAAACTGAGAGACCATGGGTGCAAGCCCAGATTACTATACCCAGCCAACCTTTCATTCACTATAAATGGAGAAAATAAAATTTTCCAGGATAAAAACAAATTTAAACAATACGCAGCCATAAATCCAGCCTTACAGAAAGTAATAGAAGGAAAATCACTAACCAAGGAGTCCAACAATGACCACAATAACTCAGACATCTAGAGACCCTTCACCAACACAAAACAAAGAAGGGAAACACACAAACTCTACGACTAAAAAGTGACCGGAGTTAACAACCACTGGTCATTAATATCACTCAATGTCAATGGACTAAACTCACCTATAAAAAGGCACAGGCTAAGAGATTGGATAAGAAAACAGGATCCAACATTCTGCTGTTTACAAGAAACACACCTCAACCACAAAGACAGGCACCTACTCAGAGTAAAGGGCTGGGAAAAGGCTTATCAAGCAAATGGACCTAAGAAACAAGCAGGTGTGGCCATACTAATCTCTAACAAAGTTGACTTTAAACTTAAATCAATCAGAAGAGATGGAGAGGGGCATTTTATACTCATAACAGGAACAGTTCATCAGGATGAAGTCTCAATCCTGAACATCTATGCCCCTAATATAAAAGCACCCACGTACATAAAAGAAACATTGCTAAAATTCAAGGCAGCCATCAAACCGCACACACTAATAGTAGGAGACTTCAACACTCCTCTCTCACCAATGGACAGGTCAATCAGACAGAAACCTAACAGAGAAATAAGAGAATTAATGGAGGTAATGAATCAAATGGACTTAACAGACATCTATAGAACATTCCATCCAAATAGGAAAGAATATACCTTCTTCTCTGCAGCTCATGGAACCTTCTCGAAAATCGACCACATAGTCGGTAACAAAGCAAACATCCACAGTTGCAAAAAATATTAGTAACCACCTGTGTCTTATCATATCACCATGGATTAAAGTTAGAATTCAACAATAATGCTACTCCCAGAAACCATACAAAGTCATGGAAACTGAACAGTCAACTATTGAACCATACCTGGAATAAGGAAGAAATAAAGAAAGAAATTAAAGTCTTCCTGGAATTCAATGAAAATAAAGAAACAACATACTCAAACTTATGGGACACTATGAAAGCAGTCCTAAGAGGAAAGTTCATAGCACTAAGTGCCCACTTAAAGAAAACAGAAAAAGCTCACATTGGAGACTTAACAGCCCACCTGAAAGCTCTAGAAAAAAAAAGAAGCAGACTCACCTAGGAGGAGTAGAAGACTGGAAATAATCAAATTGAGGACTGAAATCAACAAAATAGAAACACAGAAAACAATACAAAAAATCAATGAAACAAAAAGCTGGTTCCTGGAGAAAATCAACAAGATTGATAAACCACTATCCAAGGTAATCAAAGGGCAGAGAGAGAATTTGCAAATTAATAAGATCAGAAATGAAAAGGGGGACATAACCACAGACACAGAGGAAATTCAGATAATCATTAGATCTTAGTACAAAAGCCTATATGCCACAAAATTGGAAAATGTAAAGGAAATGGATACTTTTTTAGATAAATATCATATACCAAAGTTAAATCAGGACCTGGTGAACAATCTAAATAGACCTCTTAGTCGCGAAGAATTAGAAGAGGTTATCAAAAACCTCCCTACCAAAAAAAAGCCCAGGACCAGATGGTTTCAATGCGGAATTCTACCAGAACTTCCAAGAAGATCTAATACCTATACTCCTTAATGTATTCCACAAGATAGAAAGAGAAGGGTCATTACCAAACTCCTTTTATGAAGCCTCAATTACTCTGATACCAAAACCACTCAAAGACTCAACCAGGAAAGAGAACTACAGGCCAATCTCACTCATGAATATCAACGCAAAAATCCTCAACAAAATACTGGCAAATCGAATCCAAGAACACATCCGAAAAATTATCCATTATGATCAAGTAGGCTTCATTCCTGAGATGCAGGGCTGGTTCAACATACGAAAATCTATCAATGTAATCCAGCATATAAATAAACTGAAAGAAAAAAACCATATGATCATTTCATTAGATGCTGAAAAAGCATTTGACAAAATTCAACATCCATTTATGTTAAAAGTCTTGGAGAGATTAGGGATACAAGGGTCCTACATAAATATAATAAAAGCTATATACAGCAAGCCGACAGCTAACATCAAATTAAACGGAGAGAAAATCAAAGCCATCCCACTTAACTCAGGAACACGACAAGGCTGTCCACTCTCGCCATACCTCTTCAATATAGTGCTTGAAGTTCTAGCAATAGCAATAAGACAACATAATGGAATCAAGGGGATTTGAATTGGAAAGGAAGAAGTTAAACTTTCGTTATTTGCAGATGATATGATAGTGTACATAAGCGACCCCAAAAACTCCACCAAAGAACTTTTACAGCTGATAAACAGCTTTAGTAATATGGCAGGATACAAGATCAACTCCAAAAAATCAGTTGCCCTCTTATACACAAAGGATATGGAAGCAGAGAGGGAAATCAGAGAAGCTTCACCATTCACAATAGCCAAAAACAGCATAAAATATCTTGGGGTACATCTAACCAAGGAAGTGAAAGATCTATTTGACAAGAACTTTAAGGCATTGAAGAAAGAAATTGAAGAGGATACCAAAAAATGGATGGACCTCCCTTGCACTTGGATTGGGAGGATCAACATAGTAAAAATGGCAATTCTACCAAAGGCAATTTATAGATTCAATGCAATCCCCATCAAGATCCCATCAAAATTCTTCACAGATCTGGAGAGGACAATAATCAACTTTATATGGTAAAACAAAAAACCCAGGATAGCCAAAACAATCCTATACAATAAAGGATCTTCTGGAGGCATTACCATCCCTGACTTCAAACTCTATTACAGAGCTACAGTAATGAAAACAGTGTGGTACTGGCATAAAAACAGAGAAGTCGACCAATGGAATCGTATAGAAGACCCGGATTTTATCCCACAAACCTATGAACACCTCATTTTTGATAAAGGAGCTAAAAGTATACAATGGAAGAACGAAAGCATCTTCAACAAATGGTGCTGGCACAACTGGATGTCATCCTGTAGAAGAATGAAAATAGACCCTTATCTATCACCGTGCACAAAACTCAAGTCCAAATGGATTAAAGACCTCAATATCAGCCCGAACACACTGAACCTGATAGAAGAGAAAGTGGGAAGTACCCTACAGGAGATGGGCACAGGAGATCGCTTCCTATGTATAACCCCAGCAGCACAGACAATAAGGGCAACATTGAATAAATGGGACCTACTAAAACTGAGAAGCTTCTGTAAAGCAAAGGACACTGTCACTAAGACACAAAGGCAACCTACTGACTGGGAGAAGAACTTCACCAACCCCACAACAGACAAAGGTCTGATCTCCAAAATATATAAAGAACTCAAGAAACTAGACTTTAAAATGCTAATTAACCCAATTAAAAAATGGGTCACTGAACTGAACAGAGAATTCTCAGCAGAGGAAGTTGAAATGTCCAAAAGACACTTAAAGTCGTGCTCAACTTCCTTAGCAATCAGGGAAATGCAAATCAAAACAACTTTGAGATATCATCTTACACCTGTCAGAATGGCTAAAGTCAAAAACACCAAGGATAACCTTTTCTGGAGAGGCTGTGGAGGAACGGGTACCCTCATCTATTGCTGGTGGGAATGCAATCTTGTGCAACCACTGTGGAAGTCAGTGTTTCGGTTTCTCAGGAAATTCGGGATCAACTTACCCCTGGACCCAGCAATACCACTCCTGGGAATATACCCAAGAGATGCTCTATCATATGACAAAAGCATTTGTTCAACTATGTTCATAGCAGTATTATTTGTAATAGCCAGAACCTGGAAACAACCTAGATGCCCTTCAATGGAAGAATGGATGAAGAAAGTATGGAATATATACACGCTAGAGTATTACGCTGCGGTAAAAAACAATGACTTCTCAA